GTACGCTGACTCATTTCTGCAAGATAAATAAAGTTATTATTATCATTATTATTATTATTATTATTACTATTATTATTATTATTATTATCATTATTACCTATTTGTAGTGAGATTTACAATCGTAAATGAAAAAAAATATGAAATAAAGTTGCCATTATTATTCTGACGTCAATGTTGATTACAGCGATCGGCTAGAGTGCTACCATCTTCATTGTTCTACGAGTTATATTAAGATATTGACTCCAAAAATATAAATATAGTTTGTCTATCTTTCATTTTGTCTTTCTACTGATTGTCAGATGGTCGTCGATCATGGATTTAACAGATTTCATCGAAGGTTGTTCCCGCCACACTGGCTACAACCCTTACTTCTATGATACTACACACGCTATATATTGCTGATCTAATTTTGAATTTAATTAATTCATGTTACAATATTTAAGCATATCTTTTTTGAAAAAAAAGAAAAGAAATAGCGCAAGGAAGAGAGAGTGATATGCATTATGGGCTTAAGATAACTGTATTATCTGATGTTACTGACCAGTTAACAATTTTAAAAGAGGGTTCTGAAGGGGAATGGGGCCTAATCCTATTTCCCAAAAGAGCAGAGCAGAGCAGAGCAGAGCAGAGCAGAGCAGAGCAGAGCAGAGCAGAGCAGAGCAGAGCAAAATGAAGGAAATGGTTTGCTCTAAAAACCGAACGATACGACACCATATTTGAAACGTACCAAAAGACAGCCGTCAAATATCTCTAGCTCACTCTTTCTCACCAACTTCTCGTTTATATGCCGCAGTATTTTGCGTAAAATTCCGATCCCTTGCTCATTTATCTTTCTCTACGATCTGGAATTATTTACCCTTTTCCAGATCTTACATTCCTTGCATATTTAGTTACATTCTAGGTCAAGGTTTTATGACAAACTGAATACATCCCTCGCACCAGCACTGTTTCTAAATGTTTGGTATTATTCGTAGTTTCAGTGAAAACGAACGTATAATATTTGGGCGTTGACATGTTCTATTCGTTTGTCAGAGAGCATCGTATCCAATAAACTTCTACAAAATG